CCAGTATTCCAGCAGCAGAGTCAGGCGGGTATGCAGCAGCAGCAACAGCAGCAAGGTATGCAGGGGATGATGCCGGGGCAACAGGTCAACCCTGCAGCATTACAGGTACAACAGGGCATTCGCAACCAGTTCCCCGCCCAGGCCCTGCAGCAGCTGGTCCAAACGCTGAAGTCTCCCAGCTCTCCGCAGCAGCAACAGCAGGTGCTCAGTATCCTCAAGTCCAACCCGCAGCTGATGGCAGCCTTCATCAAGCAGAGAACACAGCACCAGCAGATGCAGCAGCAGATGCAGCAACAGCAGCAGCAACAGCAGCAGCAGCCTGGACAGGCCCTACAGCAGCAGCCCATGACACCGCAGCAGCAGCAGCAGTGGCAGCAGATGCGCATGAGACAGGTGGCACAGCAGCTGCAGAACCAGCAGCAGCAACAGCAGCAACAACAGCAGGCGCAGCAACAGCAGCAGCACCAGCAGTTCCAGCAGATGGTGCCGCCCTTCTCGCAGCAGTCTGCGCAGCACCGGATGATGGCCGCCCAGCAGCAGCAGAGCATGCCCATGGCACCGCAGCAGGGCATGAACCAGATGGGGCAGATGAACCAGATGGGGCAAATGAACCCCATGAACCAGATGGGCCACGTCAACCAAATGGCCGGCATGAACCAGATGGGCAGCATGAACCAGATGGGAATGGGGGGCGCCGACGGGGGACCCCACTCCCAGATGCAGCAGATGATGCGGCAGCACCAGTTCCAGCAGGGGGCCATGATGCAGCAGCTGCCCCAGCAGCAGGTGCAGCAGCTGAAGCAGCAGATGGCGTCGTCCATGGGCCCGGGTCAGTCCATGAGCCCGCAGCAGGCCATGCTCCCGCCACAGTCTCCCCACGCCGCCCAGCAAATGAGATCGCCACAGGGCGGCAACCCTATAGCAAGCCAGGTCAAGTCTCCTCAACCCACCCCGTCCCCCCGCCCCCAGTCCCACCCAGCCCCCCTCCACCCCCCAGATGTCTCCCATGCACCCCCAGAACTCGCCGCACCCCGGGGTGGCAGGGCCACACCAACCCGATCAAATGCAAACAGAACAACCCATGCTACCACAGATGCAGCCAACCTCTCAAAACATGGGGCAGCTGGAGGGTCAACAAAACACGGAGGAGTCAGACATGGCACCTCTGACACCACAAGATCAGTTAACAAGATTTGTGGAGACCTTATAGTGGTGCAAGTCGCACAGCAGCCTGTAGACTATAATTTAAATGGGCCCGCTCCATCTTTTTCAGAGTCTATCTTGAGAGAAAGAAGTATGTTTTATTATTGATATTTTATTTTATATTTTTGCCTCCCACCACGAGACGTTAAATGTAGGTATGAAGTATTGGAAACTGATGCAGAAGGAGTGGATTTTTGTAGGTAAAAATACTTTTGTGCGATGACGATACCATAATTTGTATAGTTAGCAAAGTTGAGTGTTTTTCCCTACTTCTGTGACTTAACGAAAAACTTGTACCATGTCGTGTGTTCAAGAAGTTTGTTTCAAGGTCCTACGATAGCTTTTACTGTCTAGGAGGGTGCCAGATGTATAGACATTGTTGGTAAAGCCACAAGCAATCATTTTTGAGCTCTCCTGCCTCATATTGTAGAGAAACTTTGGAGCAGAAACGTAGTAGGAATCATGCAGACTGAATGGTATGTGAAGAGCTCTTGCTGTAGGCAAAGGGCACCTGTGTACATAGGCATGCCCAGTGGATTCTCAAGGTTTGAACCACCCGAGCCAGCGATAGTCTAAGATGATACGGCCAGTGGCCAGGTGTGTGCAGATAACAGGAGTACCTGCATATGTAAGAAGGGTGGACAGACCTGGGTCTCCATTCTGGACCAACGGTTCCATTTCATCCAGTGAAAAAAAAACAAGAAAACAAACCTTATGTATATAAATGATGGAAAGGTCTTCACTCTACTGTGTGTTATTTAATACCTGATCTATCAAAACGAAGGGGTTGTGCTAGGTTGCACTTTAAGCATTGGCTATAATTGGGTGTGCTTAACTTAAAGAAGAACATGTGGCTAGAGATATTTAAACACTCAAACGGCCAAGGGTTTCTATGTTTTCTGTTTTGTATGTAACTGCCTTGAAGATTAAGATCACATGCTCTGTACATGGCCAAGTTGCAGCAGTATTTTATACACTAGTTTGTTAAAAAGGAAGGGTTTGGGGATCGTAGTCTGTAAAGATAGCTAAATTGTGCACTAGATATGTATGTAGCAGCTCACGCAAGCAAGTCCACGTCATAAGTTAGTGTCCAACCATGCCAATGACCTAGTGTACCAGTGAGGCAGCTTTCATTCGACGCATAGGACTGTCTTGTTGTTTTTGTCCCACATCACTTTTTTTGCCTAGGAAGTCAGCGTGAGCAAGCCAACTCCTTAGAGCTATCTGTTGGGCTATGGAATGCTTGTATTTAGCGTCAGCCAGGAATTGCGTCCTTTGATTTGGTTGCAATATCTGAGGACCTCAATTTTAGACCAATCCCAGCAGTGTTTAAGGAATGTAAAATGTTTCAAACATTAATTTCATAATAAAAATTTATATACTGTGTAATAAATGTAAAGAACACTCTGAAATGAAGGATAGTTGTATTTGTTCTTTGTACTTGTGTGAATGAATGTTGAATGAATGAAACTTTGTGTCTTGTACTGGATGTGCTCAGTCAATGTGACAGAAAGTATGAAACAAAAGTCTGCATCATATGTAAGAGGACAAAAGTTCCGACCTATAGAAATAAGACAACATGTACAGAATGAACAATCATGGAACAGAGATACCAAATCCGTACAGAATCTGTAATTATTCAATAAAGATTTCTCAGACAAAAGAGCATGCTGTAGTAAAAAATAATGTTACACTCTTAGGCCATACGAACTTAATTTCTTGGTGAATGGATTCGCCCGCTTCATTTTTTTTCTGTTTAAAAAAAAAAAAGATTCTGGTTCAAATTCAACAGCAAAATGCTCATATTTTGCCATGAACAGTTGAAAACAGTCCTTTTCTTCCTTGTTGTTACAGTTATTCCATCTTTCAATGCAGTGGTTTCATTAAAAGTTCAAAATTCATTGTCTAAATTTTGAACCAGCCTGGTGTGTTGACTTCATGGCTCTTATCGTACCATTTTGGGCTATAATAGGATGCCTAGGCCTATTTTAATTTTTTGCCGGTCCGCTCTATAACTTTTCTAGAAAAACCTGTTCACCAAGAAATTAAATTGGTGTGGCCTTAATGAAGGTAATGTCTTCACTTGGTCCAGGCTAGTTGAACGACAGTTGCAAGTTCAGATTCCCCTCTTTGCCAAGTTACTTGAATCTGATGTCATCCCAAGAATTTCAAGATGATCTCTGGAGATTTATCAAAACATTTTAGTAAAAGATTTTACCGTAGAAAGTAAAAAGAGTGATTTGTTTTCCACTTAATCCAAACTTACAGAAGGCAAGTTTTCCACTGTATTTTTTTCTTTCGGATGCCTGGCAGTCATCCATCTAAACAGCAGTATGGCCTTATACCTGCAGAAAGCGAAGCTGGCATTGAGACAAGTCCTGTATAATCGGGGCAATGGGCAAAAAGTCCCTAAAATGTTTTTAGAAACTTGGCCATTTCCAACCATGTAAAATCTGTTCCTGGCATGAGAGATACATGTACATGTATATTAACATGCATAACAAGAGTTCCGAGATCTCATACCTCCATGAAATATGGGCTTGATATGTAAATGTAAATTTCTTCTTTAATTATGCAAATGACCTCCGCATTAACATAATATATGCATCCTGCTGTTAACTTTTGATTAACTTACATATGTCCAAAGTATGATAGTCCCATCATTCACCATTAAGAAATCATAGAATTTTCGCATCAATTATGCAAATTAGGTCATTATTTGCATAATTAGTATCTGTTGATGTTCCGCCTGCCATAGGTTACATACATGTATGAAAGTAGTATAATGTAAAAAACTGTAATTATAGAATGTCCTCATTAATTATGCAAATAAATTCCTCATTTGCATAATTTGCATTTAATTATGCACATCTCTCTCTCAGCTACCTACACACCAAAAATGATTAAAATATGTTGTTCCTATCTGGACTTATTGGCTTTTAAACATTTCGCCAGAAAGTGCTCTGCAGTTCCAGAACAAGCTAATAGGGGGACCAAACTCACACCACTTATTCCTGACAGGAAAAGCTATCAGTCACCAAAACTTCAAGACCATAGCATATTCAGGACAAAAGATACAAAAACTGGAAGTTCTGCTGCAGTACCAAGGTCATCCACCAGGAGGCCCATATTTGACCTTGACCTTTGTCTTTCCAAGACTTACCAGCATACCAAATATCATTACAATCCATAAAGGCGTTATGAAGTTATGCTGACCACAAAGTTGCGGAAACACAAACAGACAGACAGACACACACACAGACATACAGACAGACACGCCAAAAACAATACCTCCATTTTTCATGGAGGTAAAAAACAACTTTTCTTCTAATAATAATATCATAATTTGTCGCGTTATGTGCTAGAGCACATAATGATACAAGGAACCAGTCTCCTCCAGTTGGCCATAAACACAGCGTTTTAATCCTGCTCTACTCACTCCCCGATACTGTCCAAGCAGAGGTTTGGTTTGGTGAAAAAGAGTGTAAAAGAGTAGTGCAAAAGAGAAACCCCGATAAAAAACAACACCAACAAGAAGCCATAGGCGACAATTCTCCGTGAAGTATTATATATTGCAACAAAAAGAAGTAGCCATTGGCGACAATTCTCTGTGAAGTGTGATAAATAGAACAAAGAAAAATTGTTTAAACGCGCGTCGGCTCAGTCATCTTAAGACGCAAAAACCAATCAGAGATGCGAGATGCCGACACGTGACGCGGGATTTGCATACAGTCTAAACAACGGGGAAGGGCGCGCGATGCCCGAAATATTTTTGCGTCAATATTCAGCGCCGTGATTCAAGAGATTAATACCCGGAAACAATTTCTTTTCTTGTTTTGAACGCATTAACATGCATTTACGCTAATCTAGTATGATTCAGGGTTACTTTTTTTAACCTGCCATGGCCAGATTATCTAAAGATGTGTGTATTGTGTGTACAATCTACAGAAAGAGAAATGTACATCAGGTCCGATCATCCGATTTTCACGTTCGGTTTTTTTGGACTCGGTTCATGAACGTATTTTGGTTTGGCTCCTGGAATGTGCGAAAAAAAATGACTCCCGGGACTGTCTACAGGAAACACTCGCACATTCGCGGTGTATCAGGACAGCGCGACTGGTCGGCATTAGCGCAGTCCCTGCAATTAGTAACAGTTGCATAAACGGACGAAAACATTTCAAAGAAATGGGGATGTTTCGAAAATAAGCATTTTCTCCAATATCAAAACAGCTACGGTAAAAATAAAAAGACGTGCATCATCCCGGACATAATGCCACACCACATGCGAAATTACACAGAAATGCGACGTACGGAAGAATGCGTTTTGGCTGCGAACATCTTCCAAAAAACTTGCCATCTCTTAACCATGGGCAAAAACATCTGGAACCACTTATCAAAACCACCCCGTATCTGCATGAAGTTCCACCCCCCCACTGCTATTCCAAGCAACGCGTTTTTCTGGACCATTCCAATTCGCCTCGTAATTGTAGGGGTGCGTCTGCAATATTACATTGACCGCGAAAGCAGCAACGGCAAAAATACACATTCGTGCATCAACACCGGAATGCCCGCAGACGGCGTATAAAATTGCGTGCCGATTACACAAAGAGAACCCAGTGGTTTGACTGCGAACATGAAAAATCAGCCGATCACAACACTCCGTCCGGAGGTCCTGACCTCCTTCACGGAGTAAAAATAACCCCAAACCGTTTGAGCCACTAGGAGAGTAACTGCAGTTCAATCAGTGGTTATAGGAAATGACCAGGCTTTATGATACCATATATTACTCGGGGTGCATGACACATCTTAGGCCTTGCATGGAAAGTATGACAATTTCAATTGTTGTTGAAGAGACAAATTGTTTTATTTGCATTGCTAGTACAGTTTCACATTATGTACTGAAATAACTAATAATGAAAGAAATACATAATCCCAAGTGATCCATCTTAAATGTAGTAATTGTTAAGTACTGGTGCATGATTAACAAATTTAATAACAATATTAGAAGAGACAATGGAAAAAAGTTTTCCATAATCCACTTATCAGAAAGTACAGAATTAATAAATTTACAAACAACCACGAAATTAGGAAATAATTTAGCGGCAGCTTATCCAGTCTGGAAAATGTAAATGACTAAGTAAGTGCTTCTTGATGAGTGTTGTTGTGTTGACATGTGTTTATGTCCAGTACATTGGAATGATAACGTAAAATGAAACGATTCAATACTATAGCTAGTAATTGCAAATTTAGTCCATTTGCACTATTAATTCTGTACATCTCTCTATAAGCTACATTATACTTACATACCAAAAATAATGAAAATACATATAAAAGATTTTGCCAGAACCTCCCCTGCAGTTCCAGAACAAGCTGCTAGGGTGACAAAACCGATACCACTTATTCCTGACAGGAAAAGGTATCTGTCACCTAAGACCATAGCTTGTTCGGGACAAAGATACAAAACAGAAGTTCTGCTGCAGTACCAAGGTTAGCCACCAGGAGTCTCATATTTGACCTTGGTCTTCCTGTGACCTATCAACGTACCAAATATCATCACAATCCATAAAGGCATTCTGAAGTTATGCTGACTACAAATGTGCGGAAACACAAACGCACACACAGACACAACAAAAACAATAGATCCAATATTTTTCATGGAGGTAATAAAAACAGACCTAGGCATCCTCTGATTGCCCCAAAAGCTATGATAGGAGCCATGAAGCTAACATACCAGACAGGCTTATAAATTCGAGTAAAGATTTTAAAACTTTTTCAAACCAATGTGTCCATAGATGGATAAACTGTAACAACTAGGAGACAATAGGATAAACTGTAAGACAAGGAGCTTTTACCTACTGTTTGGGCCAAAATATAAACATTTTTAGCATGAAAGTACATCTGAGTTGGTAAAATACATAATGGAACTGTTCTACAACTCAAGACACAAAAATAACACCAGAAATTATTGGCCGAATCACTCAGTACCGACTTCCAACGAACATTAACCCAGTGCTGACACCATATGTGGGTAAACGACACGTGTCCACAGCACTCGAATAAGAAAGCTGATGAAGACTGAGTGACTCTATAAAAAAAATTTCTGGTAAGTTATTTTTGTGTCTTGAGTTGAATAACAATTACTTATGAACATTTTTTTTGGTTGATTCAGAGCCTGAATCTTTTTTTTTTACAAATCAGAAAAAAATGAAGTGGGCGAATCCGAGAAACAATTTATCAAATTGGTGTGGCCTACAGAGGTGATATCAAAACATTTTAAACAAGCCGCTAGGGAGTCCAAAATCTAATCATTTCGAGGTCTCATCAAGACCTACCCACCTAACAAGTATCAAGTCAGACAATCCATCTCAAATTATCGTGTCCACACACAGACACACACACACACATACACGAATGCCTCTGAAAACATAACCTTCTTGGCGAAGGTAAAAATGAAAAAGGTGAACAAATCTTTGTTTGGACTCACAACAAAGTACAAAATAATACACTATAGACGTTTCTCTGTACTATTTGGGCCTTTTTATTAGGTAAGTAGACCATAAAAGGTAAAGAAATAACCCTGAATGAACCTTCTAGTAGATTAGCCAAAATTCATACACTTGTGCATTGAAAATAGCTGTATCATTCCAATATACTGAATTTAAACATAATTTGTAGCAATCAGTGAGTGCTTGTGTCTTGCTTTCCAAAAGATTATATGCAGTGTAGTATTACCATTGACCTTGTTTTTACAGTGTAAGGCCACACCAAGTAAATTTTATGGATGACGTCCTTTGGAGACCCTAAATCTAATGCGAGAGGGCGAAAGAAAAACAAGTAGGGCCCTAAAAAACAAGATGCCTAGATTAGAAATATACTACGAGACGACAAATGTTAGGACACAAATTGATTGAGGTGACACAGTGTAACAAGCAAGAAGTCTTTTATTCATCATTAAAACAGCAATAAATCAGGTGGAACCATGGACAGTGAAAACAGGCTGGTAATAGACACTTTCTTCTACGGGTTTCACCTCAATCTGACAACTTGCGGCACTGTCGTGACTCTTTGGTCATAGTTACAGGAAGCGGAATTTCTTGTTTTTTTTTCTAGGAACATGCCAAAATCAATGCGCGCGTGGACGTCATCCATAAAATTTACTTGGTGTGGCCTAATATTATAATTATGTCCAGACCTGATCCTCTTGACTTGGATCTAGACTAGGACCCCATCAAGCTAACCTGTACCCACCCCTAATGTAAACCTGGCTTATTCCAGCAGTATTTACAACTAAACACTAGTGCTGTTGCTGTGCAGCCTGCTGTTTGTGCACCTTACATAGTTCCACCATCATGGCAGACAGGTACGGGTTCCCTCCGTGTGCCTGGATCTGTTGCACTGCCTGTTCCTCCAGGTCTGACAACACGTCTTTGGTGTACTCAAAAGAACCTAACTTCTGTAAGTAGTCCACACAGTATTTCTTGACGTCCAAGTCGGTGGTCTTCTGGCGGAGGATACTGAGGATCTGTGTCGTGCCCTGCTCGTGGTGAACGCCGTGGATGATCGGGAACGAGAACTTCCCCTCCGTCAGGTCCTCGCAGTAGCTCTTGTTCTCGGTGTACTCTTTGGACATGAGGTTGGCGAAGTCGTCCCTTATTTGGAAGTACAGGCCGAGCGTGTCGGACAGCGGGACAAAGTCGCTCTTGTTGTCGCTGAACAGCTGCATGAGTTTCACCGCCAATCCGAACAGTCCGCCCGTCTTCTTCTTGACCATGACCTTGTATTCCTCCTCCGTGGGACACGTGGTGGTGTCTCTCCAGTAGATGTCCATCCCCTGTCCCTGGTGCAGTTCTAACAACTGTTCAGTGAAGATGCGGGTACATTCTGGGTGGTTTAACATCAGTACTGTCGCCAGTCCTTTAAAGTACACGTAGTTGGCACAGTTGATGGTGTGAGCTGTACCGTAGATGCTGTGAGCGACCGGGATGCCCCGCCTGAGTTTGGAGTTGTCTTCGATGTCATCGATGAGCAGACTGGCGTTGTGTAACATCTGCACCACGTTACTGATGGTCTGAAGCTTGTCCTGCGGAATCTGCAGCCAGTAGTTGAACGCTTCGATCAGCTGCAGCCGAATCTACAAACACGAAACAATCAAACATGGTGTCTGTTGTGATTACAAGTGAAGGTGAAACAGGCTGGGGTTGAGTTACATTATATTAATAAGGAAATTATTGGCATTTCAATGTTCACCTAGCTAGGTTCAAGGAGGTTCAAAGAAGTTGGATCCAGGTTATACTGTCTCTTTTATTCCCAAAATAATCCAGGATGTAAGGCTTAGGGAAAAATGTTATAAATACAATCTTGACCACTAAAGTCACTGAAATTTGTGGATGGTAACGTTACTGTAATCATTGTGTTTATCATCAGCTTGACCACTTGAAGGAAAAACAACTTGGATGGAAAAACAACAACAACATTTCGCATAGGCTATATGATAATAACGTTAATGCCCTGCCTTATCCTCGGTGTATATGGTGAGATAATCCCTGGTCAGGTGTGATAACCACCTCATAAACTACCTCGTTCGCTACGCTCACTTGGTGGTTTATTCGGTGGTTATCACACCTGGCCAGGGATTCCCTCACCATATACACCTCGGGGCGGGGTATTAACCCTTTATTAACGTTAACGAAGTTACATGTTCAGGAATGATCACTAGAGAATAGAGAAATGTCTAATAAAAGCTCCATTTTCGTCTACTTACCTTCACAATTCAAACACGAACTTATGTAAGACAAGTTACCTGTTTCCCGGGGACCTGACAGATGTACTCATAAGGCTCCATGAGGATCCGTTCTTCCACCTCCCCGCTCTGGGATAAAACTGCTTTTTCCTTCGCCATGACTGAAGCTTCTTGTTCTCAGGGCTGTGGTGGGTAGTTTACGACAGTAAGAATAAACCATTATATCATGGGGGATGGATAATTCCTGACAGGAGTATCATATAAATTAGAAATAATCTAGTGATCAACAAACCTATTTATATGATATAAACTATATTAGTTTAGCATAATGAAAGATCAGTTTATTCCATCAAAGCGAATTTTTCTTATGCATAGAAAACTTATCCTTAAGTGAACCCTCAGTTAAGTGGTATGTTCTGCCGCAAACCGTGCGCGTCCTGTAGCAAACCGGAAGTAAGTCTGTGTGTGTTTGTGTGCACGTGTTGGACCGGAATCTTCCGTTTTTTCCCCACCACAGAAAGTTATGATCCGTTTACAGCCAGCAGGCCCGGGCGGGGCGATGCCGGGGGGACCTAAGGTGGACCCGCAGGAGCAGAAGAAGGCCCTGCGGCAGGAGGTCTGGGCGAACGTCAAGGTTTTCGTCATCGTGGTGGCTGCACTACGAGCCGGTAAAATTAACGTTATATACATGTATCATCTTTCCAAGGACATTACACTATTGCAGATTTGCGTATGATGTCCTTGCTCCTATACTAAAAATAGTTAACGTTACCTTCGCCAAGAAGGTTACGTTTTCAGTAGCGTACATGTGTGTGTTTATTACGCTGTGTGTCTGTCTATTAAGTTCTATACTGTTCTATAAAGCCTTCCACAACCTAGTTGCCATACCCCTACACAACCTCACCACTAGGAATACCAACAGCACCAGGGGGCACCCACTACGGCTACAAATAGTATACTGCAAAACAGATATATACCGCAGCAGTTACATTCCACGCACTATATCTGATTGGAATCAACTACCTACTGAAATAGCTACATGTACATCACTTCCGAATTTCAAACTGGGGTTGGCCCGATATATGGGCCACCCCATACATGAGTAAATAGACATCATGCTAAGACGGCCATCACTTTTTTATTACTCCGTGAAGGAGGTCAGGACCTCCGGACGGAGTGTTGTAATCGGCTGATTTTTCATGTTCGCAGTCAAAACACTGGGTTCTCTTTGTGTAATCGGCACGCAATTTTATACGCCGTCTGCGGGCATGCCCGTGTTGATGCACGAATGTGTATTTTTGCCGTTGCTGCTTTCGCGGTCAATATAATATCGCAGACGCACCCCTACAATTACGAGGCGAATTGGAATGGTCCAGAAAAAGGCGTTGTTTGGAATAGCAGTGGGGGGGGTAAAAGTTCATGCAGATACGGGGTGGTTTTTATAAGTGGTTCCAGATGTCTTTGCCCATGGTTAAGAGATGCCAAGTTTTTTGGAAGATGTTCGCAGCCAAAACGCATTCTTCCGTACGTCGCATTTCTGTGTAATTTCGCATGTGGTGTGGCATTATGTCCGGGATGATGCACGTCTTTTTATTTTTACCGTAGCTGTTTTGATATTGAAGTAAATGCATATTTTAGAAACATCCCTACTTTTACAATCCTGTGGAATAGGCCGTAGGTTTAGGCAGTTGTCTGGTAGCAGAGGTACTCTAAGTAGATATCCTGGTTATCTGGCCGGCGGTAGTAACACTCGCGGTGCTGGCCTGTTCCAGGCGCGCTTAATTAGGTACAGGCACCGTACTAGACACGACCATGATAGTCCGATCTTTATGTGAATGCAATGATTGTGTGCAGTGTTTCCGTCAGGAGACGACCGAAGGCCCGACCGCGAGCGCCGAAGGGGGTCCGGGGCATGCTCCCCCGGGAAATTTTGAAATTTTAACCCTCTTAAACGCCATTTCCCGCACTCTGAGAGGCAAATAATTGTTAAAGTAAAGGTAACTTTAATGCGGCGGCAACTTCCGGATAAAGGCCGGCGGTCCTGATTCCTGTTCGCGGGGTAGGTTTGCGTCAAGAATTCCCGCGGACGAATACGGCTGAAATACGTGCACATCCATAATTTTGATCAAAAACATAATTGCTGGGATCTGACATGTTACTGGGTTCTCCTTAGCGGGAGTTCTTTATTGTTTTGATTGGTAAAACTCGGGGCAGTAAAAACACTAAAAAATAAGCGTGGCTACGCTACGAGAAACGCACGCGGTCCGTATACTTCCGGGGTAAGTGTACCTCAAACTAACGCTGAAAATGCAAAAAATACGCATAGAAATATATATTTACCCGAAAGATTCTTGAAACTATATATTTCTTCACTAGAATATCGATGTGTGGTTGTGGAAAATATCGTTTTAGCGCTTATATCCTAACAAAGAAAAGTTGTTTACACGCGCGTCGGCTCGCTCAATCTTACCGCTGGCGCTGCAGCGGCCGACGCAACAACCAATCAGAGACGCGAAATGTGGACATGTGACGCAGGATTTGCAGCTAGCTGAGGAGGCCGTGCGCGGTGCATGAGACCAGAGACATTGTACAAGAAGTGTATAATATCTCTGATGAGACACATTTTTGTGTCGTATTTCAAGAGATAAATGCCTGCAAATAAACTTTTCTTATGTTTGAAAATATATCTAACAAGTTTATCTTTGAATAGCCGAGTGAAAATCAAATATATATCGATGTCTGGTCCTTCGGTCCTACAAGAAACACGGTATCATTTTTTCGCGTCAAAGGACGGCTGGACGGCCGCCTGGCGGAAACACTGATTGTGTGTGTGTATTAAAATGAACTTCGAACTTGAAGCACAGTATCTTTACACGCCCTGGGAGCAGTAATGGATTTAGCTCTTTGTATGTTTTATGCTTGTGACGCGCCCTCATTGTATTAACCGTTGCCTAATTATAATGTCTGCACAGTAGGTCTGGCGTTGACGCTTGGGATTTTGTTGAAATATATAAAACTTCACGGAGGATTGTCACCTATGGCTTCTTGTTTTTTTTGCACCTTGTACAGAACTTTTTCACTTTATTTGTTATGAACACTTCCACCACCGGCCGTTCTTAGCCGTGCACCAAGACCTACCCCTGGACGGCTATACCCGCGAGGGTTTTGTACCAGTATTATTAAGATTAAGAAGAAGATTAATTGCTTCCTATTTAAAAAAAAAAGTGAAAATTTTGAGACATTTCCATAAGATGATTACAAATCGACATCCAGGTTAATACCAGATGTACAGTAACTTTACTGAAAATACATCAACAGGGGTGCCAGAGTATACAGTGCAATTTCACTAGTATACAGTGCAATTTTACTAATGACGTTGATTATGGGCCCGGCTTTCCAGGGACGCTGCTGACGGAGCGTATTCACATCTTTCTGTGTTTTTCGAGCGAATTTGGACCTTTCTCATAGATAGACCTTTAGTCAAATTACTACATACTTCACACAGGACGTTACTACACAGGGATCATTTCGAATTCGCTCGAAAAAGACAGAAATATGTGAGTCAGCAGAGTCCAAAGCCGGGTCCAAGTCACGTGATACAACGTCATTAGTAAAATTGCACTGTATTCCGTAAAATTGCACTGTATACTAATACAATTGCACTGTATTCCATAAAGTTGCACTGTATACTAATACAATTGCACTGTATTCCATAAAGTTGCACTGTATGCTCTGGCACCCCTGATCAAACATTAATCCCTCCACCTGTACTTGTATTTTTCAGCTCCTTACGTTCTGGACAAGATGGGAGTTCTAGACTCATGAGGCCTGGGTCAGCTGGAGTTGGGATTTTTGGCGACACCACAGGAGTGGAGAATTGGACTGTGCAGTTGCAGAAGTGAACACAACACCTGCTGGAGTCAATTAACATTTCTTAGTGTATCCAGACAAGCTGATTTGTCTTGGTAGTCTTTCATAGTCGAAGATGACTGAATTGAGTTGCAGCAGTATCATCACACACATTGTACTACTACTACTGATTCTTGGGTGCTGCTATGTAACAAACTCCATACACCATTCATTCAAGAAAAATTAGAAAAGGAGTGACAAAGTTTACCTCCTTAAATAGGCTTTACTATACATGTATAACACCTAAATAGTGGAAGTCTGTGAAATACTTTTCAGACATCAGTTTGGGACATATTGTGCTCATTCAAGGAAATCATTCTTTACATTGTTCATTCCCTGCCATATACCATTACAACTGTATTTGAGTTTGATTAAACTGTAAAAAAATGGAACCACAGTGACTCCGATTTGCAGTCTCCTTTTGAGATAGACAGACAGGAGACAGATCATACAAAGGTGTGGTATTATAATTTTAGTCCTCCGGTGTGATGATGCCATATCACCATACAAGCCTTACCCTAAATAGACTCTTTTTACACAACCAAATTTTATATTCTGTATCTATATAGTTGGTATAACCACCCTTCGGCATAACACACCAGCTTCGTAGGCACGTGGTGGCAGCTGGCTACATTATACCGAAGGACTGGTTACACCTAACCCTTGAACATCTAACTCTGAACAGCTTTCTAATGACAATGCCCCTACTGTACTTGGTGACAGTGAGTTCCACTCTGCAATGGTTCTATGAAAGAATGAATTTTTGAACTGTTGTGTGCGGACCCCATTCCTCGGTTGATAACTCTGGTACTTGAAGACATGGCTATTTCTCGTTCTCTTCTGGGCTGGTATTAGGTACTTAGTAGTTGGTACGTCCACCAGTTTATTAGTCATTTTGTGCATCATTCACTGTGGCGGTTTGGTGACAGCCGAATAAACATTGCCTGAATAAAACACTTGGTTGTGAAAAAGAGTATTTATTCAGTGTCTTACCAACCTGGTGAAACTATTCACAAAATCATTACGGTTACAATGTTAGAAATATTCACATCCACAGACTCAAAACATCACCATAGACCAGACATCTTACACAGCACAGTTTATTGTACATAACAAACACCAAAGTCCACAAATCTGCTTTATCTCTGAGCTTCAGATGGCCTTTTCCTTCGCAGGGTCTCCTGCTCTCAACCACTTCAAAACTCAGACTCAAATCAGCCATGACTTAAAACATTTCGTGTTTAATTTGAAACCTAGAACAAGGCTGACGCAGTCCCCCTGTGGGTCTGCTTTGTCAGAAGTTGTGGTTTGGGTGTTTTCGGAGTTTGAAGAAGTTGATTGAATGATGCGTCCTCACAAGGATACAAGAGTGAACAAACAAGGAACAAGTCTGGGAATAAATACCATCATCATGTTGACTTGTGTAAGTTCCTGGCAATCTATACCATCCTTATACTACACAAATGGCACTGTTACACTTTCTTAAGGACTGGATTTTCATACAACGTAAAATTGGACCCATTTTCACCTTTTGTAATGTTCAGACTGGTAAAACTTTAGGACTGACTGACTGACTCTTTTCAGAAGCATTTTTTTTTCTTATTCCTACAACCTTAAAAAGTGAAACATCTACACTGTTCACAAACTTAAAGTAAAATTATCTGGAGTAGTTTGAAGGTATTCTTCAGTGTCTACAGCCCTGGACTTAAGCCTTTTTCTTCTTGGGTCGACCGCGCCCATCCGGGGTGCCGTCTGCCTTGCGTTTTTGTGTACCCTGTAATAAAAATTGAGCAGAAATAGTTAGTTGTACATCTCTGACAATCTGGGTAGGGACTCACAAGAAATTAGCATTTTTATGAACAACTTTGCTATGAAATGGCATAAAAATGTACATTGGGAATATTAGCATTTCAATAACAACGTTAGGCCGTACAAGCTCAATTTCTCAGTCATCATGATTGAAACAAACTTCTAGTGACCATATTGTATGTACACATCTGATATTTGATTGTATTTTACTGACTTTTTTTTGTGTCATAAACGTTTTGAAACATTCAGTTGGCACAGCTGAACAGCAGCCAATCTAGCTGAACACAATAGTGTTCAGTAGAACACATGTACTTGGTTCTATGTGTTAGATGTGCCCACCTTGGGTGTTCCCGCTCGTGGTCCCCTCTTCCTCTTCTCCTGTCGTTCCTTCTCCTCCAGCTCGGCGTTCTCTCGCTCGATCAGGGTGATGAGGGTGTTACATCTTCTCTGGAGCTCCTACAAACAAAATCCACTTCACTGTCAGTCTACACTCCCTACAATCTTGCAAAAAGGAGTAACAGCAGTGAACCTTAATCCAACACTTTTATGTACAGGCAAGATTGAATGACAAATCCACAACCAGACATTTGGTATTTTCGTTAATCATTGAGTGCATCTTGTAGCCTGTTTTTAACATCATACCTACATGTACGTGTGTGTCACTCTCCCAACCATTGAGATATCGGGTGAAAATTGTGTCTTAAACATTGCTCCCGCTATAGCTTCATTCTTAAAGTTATAATTTTCATTTTTGCAAGATTTATGAAGGCCCCCCCTATGCTGGTTGAAAAACAGCAAATCACAGCATAGGGGGCCCCTATGCTCAAAAAAGCCTGGCAAGAACACTGTATACATGTGTATGATTGCCCCATTGACCCACCATGGCAGTTCTTGACTTGAGGAACCAGTCGAAGCGGAACTGCGGAGCCTGTCTGCAGGCGTAGCGCAGCTCCTCGTACACGTTCTCCTTGTCGAAGCCCAGCTTGTGCAGCATGCACACCAGGAAGCGGTCCTCCTCCTCCGTGTAGTTCTTCCCTTTGTTGGTACCGTACGCGATCCGCAGCTGGTGGAACGGGGCCTTGTAACGCGCCATCTGGGAGGAAACAGTCATACGTACACATGAACAACCTCACCATAGAATGTCTACAACATTTTCATTGTATTGATTTTCATCATCATCATGTTGGGCAGCTTGCCCAGACTCGGTCTTTCGCTGGCGCCCACCCTCATGTTAGGAGGATACAGGGCTTGAAATACTGGAGCTGTGCACCCATATTTTTCTGTGGGTGCACCAGTGCACCCAAAATTTGTTGTAGGTTTAAGCATGTCAAGATCTGTAGCAGTCTACAGCATATTCTTAACATCTAAGTGTCAGAAAAATAATAAAATTATTCTTGAACCCGTACTACATTTTCTTAGTAATTAAACATAATTATTTTTTGCTGATATTCTATAGCTACTTATTTTGTTTTATATGGTGCACCCTAGTAATTGCATTTTTGTCATTAAGAAGGAGGTAAGTAGAAGGCGGCAGGCTGACCTTGGCATCCAGGGCCTTCTTGATGCTGATCCTGCGCTGGATCTTGGCCTCTCCTCGCTCGATCTGCGCCATGATGCGCTCGATGTCCTGTAGCTCATTGCAGCGCTCCCAGAACACAGCAGAGTATTCAATAACCTGTAACACAACAGGACAGTACATGTCAGCTGATTTATGTACACTTTAACAAGAAGTAGTCTTGGATATATAGGTGTATATGATGTTATAAGGCCTTGTTTGACCTATCGCAGAGTGGAACTCGGTGTCACCAAGTACAGTAGACAGCTTTAAACAATGTCCAGAGTTAGATGTTCAAGGGTTAGGTGTAACACATTGTTCGGTGTGATGTAGCCAGCTGCCGCCGCACCGCGTACCTGCAAAGCTGGTACCTGCGAAGCTGGTACGAGGCCATATCTGGTAGGACGACCAGGTCCAGCAAACAGCTACAAACTCTCAGATCCAGAACTGTTCGATTTACAAAGAGCTACTTACCTACTATATGACAAAGTTCTTGAACATACTGTATGTTATACTGGCCGAGCTGTTTTATTGTACTGTTGATATTGTATTTCATATGTATATGTAGTCTAAGTCTGCATTAATAATGTTTTTCAAGATTTTAAATTGTAAGAAGTCCACAATTCAACCATTTAGGCTGCCACAGACTTTTAACCTGTATGTTTCTTCCATCTTCTTCTATCCAATTTTAACGCCATTTTTCCCCGAAACGGGGGTTAGACGTGCTTGCATCAAATGCAAGTCTTTTTTTTTGGAGCAAGATTCTTACAGTTGGATGCCCTTCTTAATGCCAACCCAAACCCTAGTAGGACCCAGGATCCCTCTAACTGAGGGGAGAAATACGTGTTAAGTGCCTTTCCCAAGGGCAGAAGGTCTGGGTGCATGTCCAGACATGTCTGGGTCCAGCCCTGGGGATTGAACCTGGGTCTTCTCGCTTGACAGTCGGATGCTCTATCCACTACACCACACAGACAGATGTTTATGTGAATAATAATAAACCAGTCATCACCTCTTCAGGAGTCTTCCCCTCCACCTCCTTAGAGATGTTCTCGATGTCGTCACGACCCCACTTCTCATTGGCCTTGATGAACTGGTTAAAGTCTCGCTTGGACCAGTTGGTGAAACCCTGGGGTAGCAGATGAGAGGGGAGAATATGTCACACACTAAAGTGCTGACAAAATGAACAGTTATCTTCAACCAGTCTAGTTCAAGTAAACTCAATAAACACTGGAGCTATTGAAAATTAGTATAATGAAATGACACTGCTCCAGAACAAATCTCTTTACTAAACAAGTCAAATATCTCCATAGTTATTACGAAAATTCTTAAAACATAATCACTTATATATTTTAATGTTGCATACTGTAATTATTTAACGTTTTAGCTGTTTTTCAAGATTTTTAAAGTGATTTCTTTAAATATATGAATGTATCTTAACTGAACATGCTGTGTATACATGTAGTAGCTACTACTAGTATTATTTAATAATTATTTAGTAACCCAGACTTTTGATTGCTACAGGCTAATGAAGTTGTGTAGACATTAGGCCAGACTCAGTCCCAGCTGTCCTGACCTGTTGAAGCAGCTTCTCCTTCTCCTCTATCTCATCATCAGACAGAGGCTCTCCCTCGTCTATCTTCTTCTGCTCCTCCTCCTGCTGTCGTTTGGCCTCGGCAGGGGACAGGTCGATGTTCCGCGGAACCTAACAGAACAGACGGTTTATTAGCATCTCCAGTAGTGTAGGAAAGAAAGAAAAAAGAAAGGTCTCCCGTGCCCTTATGCAGAGCGTAGGGTGGTGCCCATCTCCATTTCTGTAGCCCTTGGGCGACACACAGTTGTGCAAGGCAGTACAGCAGGGGGCTAGTCTGCTGGTAGTGCTGTGTGTTTGACCTTCCCACACTCTTTCTCATATGTGCTGAGTGCAAAGCAGAGAAAGAAGTGTGTACCCATTTTTTAAGTCTTTGGTATGACCTGGCCGGGGTTTGAACTCACGACCTCACGGTTACAAAGCGAGCACTCTACCAATTTGATTTTGAAATTGAGCTATTGCACCGGTGGTCATTAGTGTAAATTTCACATTATTCTTCCTGGAGTCCGTAGTGAATATCAATAGTGAAGTCGTGTTAAGTGCCTTTCCCAAAGGCAGAACATTGGGGCATGTTGCTGGATTCGAACCCAGGACCTATGGGTTCTGGGCCAAACACTCAATCATTACACCACACGATCTCACCAATACATATACACCATCAAGCCTTTGTTTCTCATACCCTGCTTTAAGCTCAATAATTTAGTTTTGAACAGTAAGTACAAGCTGTGTGAAGTCACACTGGGGTGGATCTCATTTTGAGAAGTGTGGCGGTTTTTCTTTAACATGCCGGAGGTGTGTCTGCTGACAAGGATATAAGACATCCCTTTTCATAACAAAACAGCTGAATTCTGTACTACATGTACATGTACACTTAGTTTGCAATTATAGCAGGAAAGTGCTGTACTGCATGACAAGATAAGTAGGAGGCATTTAAAGTTAAAACTTTTGGTCCAATACACACAAAAAAATTCTCTCACCTAGAGCTTTTGACCAGTCACTCTGGTCTTCCTCAGTTCTTTGAAGTGTGACGTCAACACTTAGTCAAAGGTAGACGATGTCGGCTATTTCTTGAGAGGTGTGAAGGAAGCCATATACATCAGGGCCCATCACCCTACATTGAACCACGACGGGGGCCGACATCGTCTACCAGATACCTTTGACCCAGTGTTGACGTCACACTTCAAAGAAGCCACGTGACAAGCCTCACTGGGTCAGTCTACTGAGGAAGACCAGAGTGACTGGTCAAAAGCTTTAGGTGAGAGAATTTTTTGTGTTGGAACAAAAGTTTTAACTTTAAACATATAACTACCAACACATGAACTTTCATGATAGTATGAGTAGAAGGTGTGTACCTTGTATCCAATGCTCTTCCTGTAGGCGTAGATCTCCTTCTCCAGCAGTTCAAACAGACGTGGGGGGTAGAACTGGAAGTCCTGGATGTTGGGCTGTTTGGGTGGGCGGGGTGCCTGGGGAGGGGGGGGGGTATGTGTATTAACATCCAACTATTGGAAATGTATTGGAAGAATATAGAACTTTAAAGGCATCCAATGCAATTTCAGGGCAGAAAAACAAAACATATTCTGGATGAGGAAATCTGTCTTATACTGACATTGACTGTCATTTCTTAGCCCAGTTCCATCATCATTTTATAATTGATGTTGGGAATAGACCAAAAATAAGCTACATGAAAAGTCCCTTTAATTAACCAACGATAAATATCTAGAACCAGCCTATGATATGAAACAAAGAATGACTGTTTTCTACCAAAGAATGTCAAATTTCTACCTTGGGGGCCTTAGGTTCATTTTCCTCTGCAGGCTTACCTTGGGGGCCTTAGGTTCGCTGACTCTCAGGGCCTCCCGGAAATATGCGTCCACCGCGTAGTTAGCCTTACGTTCTCGCTTGGGCGGCTCGATCCAGTGGGTGATGCCTTGGAACTACAGCAACACAGATTTTCATGTAACCATAATTATAGAACTAAAGGGAAACTACAGAAGTAACATTTGCAAAGCAAATGCATAATGTTTACCTTGGGACATGGTCTGCTCTGTTAATTTTTACTCAAACACATTCACATACATTGTACATGTACTATGAGTATATGGTGACAGGAGCAGAGCAGACCATGAAATTGCAACATTATGTAACCCAACACCAGTCACCATGGTGACAGACGTCAACAAATCATTTCATTGGCCAGGTCAGAGGTTAGTGTTTTGAACAGAAGAGGAGGAAGAAACTGAGCAAAAGCAATATGTTTTCCTTCGGTAAACATAAAAAACAAGGAAAGCCTGGAAAGATAGGACTACTACATCTACTTGAGAATAGACTCAGTCTACTACAGAGACAAACATTATGCTGTATGGGTCAAGATATTCAAACACTTCCAGCCCATAATTAATCATATTTTGCACTTAATGACACAAACATATATGTCACTGAAATGTTATGCAAAATATTTTCCTGCACTAGAATATAGCTATGTCACATTGTACACATACATTGTATGATACCGATACCATTTATTTAATGTAATGACAATCTCCAAACCTACTACACTACTGTTCAGTAACATGTTGACAGAGCTTACTTCCTGTACCACACATGTAATGTGTATAGCACTTCAGCAGAACATCTTGTTTAAGGTTGCATTTATGTATTTAAGAATGACATCCCGTCTATAGTTTTTAAATGTTGCGCCAGAAAATATATTGTTTGCAACGGGTAAAATTCTAATGCAACGTTGACTAAACATCCAATGACAACTCTTGAAAAATCCTTGTTCAGTGTGTGTGTGCTAGACTTCTTTCACAAAATACCTGCTTTTCCTTGTAGTTTTCCCCTTCAAAGTTGTAGATGCTGGGCATGGGAGCGTCCAGGGTGAAGTTGCGTAGGGCACTCTCCCCTAGGCCCTCCAGCTTCTTACGCAGTTCTTCTGTCTGTTTGTGCAAACAGAAATGTAGAGGTGAACACCTATAACACATTACTGTCTTGACCTGTCATGTACTTGGACCACTTCTGGTGGGTGTAGTTCTTGTTCTGCTTCTAGACCACACTAAGACTTGTTTCAACACAATTTATACAACTTATTAGATATATTTGTTTGTTTGTAATTATGCTTAACCTTCTATTTCGAGTACCTAGTATTCTGTGTATTCTTATACTTGTTGTCATTGACTATGTAAATTCTGATGTTGTAGACATGTTTTTGTATGGGGGAGGGCAACTTGTAAAGGTGCGTATGCACCTGTTTTGCCCTCCCTTTCACTGTGAAAAATCAAAATAAACAAATAAACAATATCAAACACAATCTTGTACAGTAGCAGTGTTCTAGCTTGCATAGATGAGTACACACTGTGATTTGGTGCTGTTTATTCACATTGATTGGCAGCCAATATGCATTGCTTGGCTGAATTGCACAAGTGATTTCATGATGATGTATGTGTCTATTGTGTATATTTGTATATGATGTCGCAATATCAGCTATCAGCTGCCTGGCGGCAACATTGTCTTGCCATGTTGCAATTTCAAATAAACAAATTTAGTGCTGTGGTTTAGATCTCTACACTATCTTTCCCACACCATAGGGGTGTTTTAAATACATTACAGACTTTCCAGGGTCAGCTTGAGTATTGTATTAATTTTGTAGGACACTAGGAATTCAACATGAAACAATCTACAGGGTTCTGTTTTCTTTGACCAAGACATAAGGCCACCTAGTTGAAAGTTCTGTCCTGTTTTCTTTGAGTAATCATTCTGTCAAGTTGATTATTGTTTCTATTGTTATTGAGGAAGTTCAGAAGAACATGTTTATTTGCCAAATTGTTCAGGTGCAGGTGCAGGTCTGGACTTGTACCTAAACCTATGTACCAGTACCTGTACCTGTACAGTACCTGTACCAGTACCAGTACCTGTACCAGTACCAGTACCAGTACCAGTACCTGTACCAGTACCAGTACCTGTACCAGTACCAGTACCTGCACCTATACCAGTACCAGTACCAGTACCTATATCAGTACCAGAGTACCAGTACCAGTACCTATACCAGTACCAGTACCTATACCAGTACCAGTACCAGTACCTGCTGTTATGTTTAGGTCTGCAGTCCTAGTATGTCCCCATGAAGACTTACCCGTTTCTCGCCCTCGGCCATGATGGCGTCTATGTCAGCGTCCGTCACCTCGCCTTCCTTGGAAGCGAAGACGTGATCGGCGCCGTGACGGATCATCTGTAACATCTCGTCCTTCCCCAACTTCACCTGAGCGTCCGCTAGCCGGCCTAGTGTTCCACAAAATCACACATGTTCAACACAGCCGCAATGATATTTAAACTTAAAGTGCTCATGACACCAAAATATAACCTTATCTGGTTGTACATTTGTAGTTGGCATAACTAGTATTACCTGGCTAACAGACACATTTACAATAAATATGCACGGTTCTCCTGTTACATTCAAAATTCTAATGCCCTGCCTTTGAAAAGTTAGCACAAGCCAGTACTGGCAGACGATTTGAATCTCTTACTACATTAATTTTTGCATATCTGTATTTTTTCCTGAGCTGATGTCACCCAGTGATGTCAGCTGAGGAAAAAGCACAGAAATGCAATAATAAAACACAGAGATGCAAATAGAGATGCCCGAAGTGGGCAATTGGGAAGCTTGCTGGAGAATCTCCAAAAACCCACTTCTAGAAGGCCGTACAAGCTCAGTTTCTCAGTCATCATGATTGGAACAAACTTCCAGTGACTATATTGTATGTACACTTCTGATATTTGTATGTATTTTACAGACTTTTTTTGGAGTCATCTGGTCTTTAAGGACATCCAATGTAATTTCAGGGCAGCAATACAAAACATATTCTAGATGAAGAAATATGACTGACAGACATTCAATGCCATTTCTTAGAATTCATTTTTGTCATCATTTTATAGATAAACTTCTGGAAGATGTACCTTGTTGGATGACGATCGTGTCCAGTTTCAGCTTGGTTTCTGCCCGTTCCACGATGCGGTCCTCCACTGTGTTGTCTGCGATCATACGGAACACGCGGACCTGTTTCTTCTGACCAATACGATGGGCTCGGTCCTAGAGAGAAGACATATAAAAATACTGCAGTGTCAGTGACATGCAGACAAACTGAATGAACTGTTGTGACAGCATGACTTGAGCGAGCATAACCTTCAGTACATTCAGAACTAGAGTTCCACAATCTCATACCTTCACCAAATGATGTTAGCCTTTCTGACTCAGAGATTATATATTAATCCCCCTGATTATGCAAATCAGGATCCTAAATTGCATGAATTATATCTGTTGATCATATTCTACACCAAAAGAGTCTTATCTTAACAAAGAATGCCATTATAGCATTTCCCCATAAGTTATGAAATGAGGTCCTTATTTGAATAAGTTACGCTTAATTATGTTCACTTAACTTTCAAATACCCAAAGTACCCGCAGTTACCACTTTGGAATTATAACATTTTCTCATTAATTATGCAAATCAAGTCTTCATTTGCACAATTGATATCTGCCTGATAACACGTCATTAACATTTCCTGATTATATTCAATTGTGATTTATTGTGATTTATTTTTATTTATTTCAAACACCAAAAAGCAAACCTTGCAGCAGGGATGAGAATCCCTGAATTGAAAGAGTTTGCGTACAGAAAAAAAAAAAAATTATTACAAGTAACATGCACATGTGCGTTAATGCACCTAATGAGGATGAATTGACCAATGAGGATGGACGTACCATGGCCTGTAGGTCGACCTGTGGGTTCCAGTCGCTGTCGTACAGCAGCACCACGTCTGCCGTGGCCAGGTTGATGCCCAGTCCGCCCGCACGCGTGCTCAGCATGAAGATGAACTTGTCGCTGCCCGGACGGTTGTAGTCGTTGATTTGTGCCTGTCAGGAGACATAATTATGTTAGACTTGGAAGTGACCAGCAGAGGAATCAATTCAATTTAATTAACCAGTAATTACAGCTCAGGCCATTTTGGCCTGCTTTTCAGGTAATCCTGGATACATATAAAAATACACACATCAACTGGATCAAGTCCTGTTCCTAATGATCTATTTAAAAGTCCTGAGACTAAGGAGCTGTCATTGCTGTAGTGGAAGAGTGTTCCAGAGAGGTAAGGTCCATAATACTGTAGACTGTTCCGGTATGCAGTGACTCTTGCTGAAGAGTAGGTGAGGATCGTAGTCCCTAAGACGCTTTAACTCTGACCGAGTGGTCCGTACACTTAATGTTGGAGGATTCTCCCACTTAAACAAAGATTGCCATGTACACCGGCGCACTTCCACGAATTGCCTTACAGACATTAACAAGAGTTGTGATTTCTGTCCGTTTACGCACAGAATCTATCCCTGCCTACCTTCTAATAAGTTTTAAATATCCTTGGTGCTGTTATTTTTGTCTGGATCACTCAAGTAAAATAAGCTCTATTGTATCCAGTGTTCTAACCAGCATTCGTCTTCTAGTGATTTGAGGGAATTATGATTCTCATGACAAAAATTTTGCCTAATCAGTCATCTTTGAAAATCAGTGCTAAACTACGCTAAGTCTACCAGCAAATTTTGCCCCTCAAAATGCAGGAAAAAGCTTTTCAGAAGGTTAACTTAAGCGTTAGAATTTGCATGCATCCAGACCTTCCATATTATATTAATATTGTCCTGCCCTTGGTGTTTGACATGATACATCATATTTCTATTATTATTACGTCTAACAAAATTTAGACTCACACACACACTGTATGGTTCATACTCTAGACCTGCAACTCATTTTTGGCGACACCCCAGGAGCGGAGGCAATAGACCACTATTTTTACACAGGGTACACCCTGCTTTATCACAGACCTGTCTCTCCTCGTGTGGAGTCTGTCCGTCCAGGCGACAGTAGCTCCAGCCCTTCCAGATGCAGTAGTCCTCCAGGATGTCCAACATTCGTGTCATCTGGCTGAAGATCAGCACACGCGAGCCTGGGGTTACATAAACAACAGTCAATAAAACAGCTTTTTTACAGTAGAAGTTTATCTAAGGCCACACCAATTTAATTTGTTGTTTCCCAGATTCACCCTATCCATTTTTTTCTGATTTGCAAAATATCAACTGCAAAATGCTCAATGAGACATATTTTGGCCCCAACGGTTGAAGAAAGTCATTTCTTCCTAGTTGTTCAAGTTTTTCAATGTAACAATGCAATTTTATTTCATTAAAAGTTCAAAATCTATTGTTTTAATTATAAAACAGCCTGGTATATTCACTTCATGGCTCATATTGTAACATTTCTGGCTATCATGGGGTGCCTTGGCCTGTTTTCTTTTATTTTGCCCTGTCGCTCCATATTTTTTCTGAAAAGATCCGAGAAACAACAGATTTAATTGGTGTGGCCTAACAGTATAATACTTTGGACATGTCACACAAGCAGGTAACATCACCACCCACATATTACATGGGACTATCAACTGTAGGAAGAGCTGTGGGAGACCAAGAAAGAGGTGGGGTGACGATGTCCGTGACTGGATGGGCATGCCACTGGCAGAGTGTTCTCATACAGGCTTTTAGAATCGTTTTATTTGAGCTTTTTGGCTGTGTTATAGAAGATGTACTATACTATAGCAGTATGTTACCATATTTAGGCATAAGTCATCAGAATGGCATGCAGAGCAAGCAACCAATAGGCATGCAGCTTTCCTCTATTCTTCTTGCTGATTGGCTGTTGGGATTTTATTGGGTTAACTCAATTAACACCTGTACAAAGCCATGCCATATTGACAGTATATATACATATTGACTAATGATAAGCAGTAAGTATCCTACCCTCTGCCTGTAAGCGAGGTAACAGCTTGTCCAGGATGCACATCTTGCCGGAGTTCTGGACCAGGTGTGTGTCGGTGGTGTAGGGGGGACCGGGCTCAGCTCCGTCAAACAGGTACGGGTGGTTGGCACACTTGCGCAGCTGCATCAGGATGTTCAGCAGACGCATCTTGTCCGACTTTCCCGCGCCGTTCACCACGTCAATGTCCTTCATCAGAATCTTGGTGTACCTGTGTGGAGGTTTTTTTAGAAGGAAATGAGTGGAAAAAAAAGAAGATAATCAATTTTGTAGTACCAACTACTTCACTCACATTGTCAAGATTTCAGAGATTATATCTGTAAGGCAACACCAATTCAATTTGTTGTTTCTCGGATTCGCCCTGTCCATTTTTTTCTGATTTGCAAAAAAAAAAAGATTTTAGGTTCTGAATCAACTGCAAAATGCTCAGTGGAAGATATTTTGGCCCCAACGTTCTAAGAAAGTCCTTTTCTTCCTAGTTGTTAAAAAGTTTTCAATGTAACAATGCAATTTTGTTTCATTTAAAGTTCAAAATATATTGTTTTAATTATAAACCAGCCTGGTATGTTCACTTCATGGCTCATATTGTAACATTTCCGGCTATCATGGGGTGCCTTGGCCTGTTTTTTATTATTTCGCCCTGTCGCTTCATATTTTTCCAGAAAAAATCAGAGAGGCAACAAATTAAATTGGTATGGCCTTATGTAATTTTGTAGCACCAGATTTGACATTTTTATGGAAAGAAAACCATTATGATCTAAATGTGCTGTTACTTTGGGAGTTAGTGGAAAGGTGGATCCTGTCCTGTGCATCTTAGTATTCTTACATGTACAAAAATGTATGTCTACTATTCAATCTAACTTACTGCAGCAATTTTATAATTTTTTTTTCAGTCTCGTGTCAGCGCATGAATTTGTTCTACAACTTACTAAGTCCTGGCCTCGATTTCTACTTACTTTTGATAAGCTCACCCATGTGACTATCAAATCAAGTCCCACAGCTGTTTTTCTCGTAATGTTTACCAAAGGAAAACATATTGTTTTTACTCAGTTTCTTCTTCTTCTTTAAACAGTGACCTCTGACCTGACCAATGTTGCAATTTGGACTGCTCTGCTCCTGTCACCATATACTCCTAGTACATGTATGTGAGTGTGTTTGAGTAAGAATCAACAGAGCAGACCATGTCAGAAGGTAAACATTATGCACTTGCTTTGCAAATGTTACTTCTCTAGTTACATATGTAACCATGTTAGTCAGTCTGCAGCCTTGACTGTACAGCAGAAATGGTCCCAAATTCCTCATCTCAAGCCTGCCTGAAACGTCAGTATGATTATCATACTGTAGTTTCATACTTTTTAAACCTTCAACAAAGAGGTTTAAAAAGTCAACATTGTCCATACAAAAAACATTTTCTCACTGGAAATTTCTAACTGCTACTTGTCAATGTCAACAATGCAAAATTATAACTTTGACTCTCAATGTGTGATAGGCTTACTGAATGTACTTATGTGTTCTAGACCTGTGTGGGAATTCTACTTTAACGCCAGCGAAGCTATAACATCCATTGTTCTACCCTGGTGCAGAGGTACACAGGTCGGAGTTACCATTCTCTTTGCATTCTGGCGAGCCCCACGTAGATTTTTGTCTCCTTTTTAGGCTTGAGGCTGGCCTCCACATCTGACTTGAGACGTCGGAGGAGGAATGGTCGCAAAACCTGCGTGATGAGAGCGTGGGGGGAGGGGGGGCGGTGCAGAAACAATGTTAGGAAATCCGCTGCACCGTACATACCTGTGTGTTTGCGTGTATGTGTGTTTGTGTGCACAGCAAACCAGTCCAGGGCCCTGACAGATGGACCCACACTACACCTGCACAGTTCCTCTCTTGCCACTTTTAGGCGTCAGTTACCAGGTATAAAGCCACAAAGCCTGAACATAGCAGGGCTGGAAATACTGGGTGCATCATGTGCACCGAAATTTGGAGCTGTGCACCCAATTTTTTCCTGTGGATGCACCAGTTCATCCAAACAAATTTTATACATATTTTTGAACATATGAAATCTATAATAGTATATAGGATATTCTTGGCATCTAAGTGTCAGAGAAATAATAAAATCTTTGTTGTAGTACTTGTGTAAGATTTTGAAGTTGGCTCCCATTTCAGATTCAAGCTAAGAAGAGGAGCAGTAAGATCAATAATTAGGTGTTGTTTTATATGGTGCACCCAAATTTTTTTGTGCACCTAATTTTTTAGGTTGGGTGCACCAGTGCACCTATTCCCAAAAATGAATTTCGAGCCTTGCTGGTTGTGGGTTGCACACATTGCTGCTCAAAAAACATTGCCACAATCGGTCTCATGATTAGAGCTTGGTACAATCTTAGCTTGAAGCCGCAGCAGAAATGCAAGCGAGTTGGTAAGGACTAGAGACACCAGCAGTAGGGAAACTTGCTTCTGTAATACATTAGAAGCTGATACAGTGTAATTGTGGAGTCAAGCATAGGTAAAAAAAACAGGAACCAGTGTTAGAACAGTGCAATCAAAATAGTTAAGGAACAGCTGAGAATATAACATCCTAGTCCTTTCTTTACCATAATCATGCATGACTGTAATTATGCAAATCAAACTAGTCACAACGCACAAGTTAGTACTACAGTACAGTACAGTACTACATGTACATCCATTTTCTACTTGCCTACTAGCCTGGGAAAAGTTTAAGTACTGATTGGGCAAATGCATTTTTTTAATCCCCCCCATGTATAGCAGTGTTTTTTACCCCTTAAAAATATCATTGATGTTGGTCAAAATCAAATTTATTTGTCAGGAAATACCTTGGAAAATAAACTGGCAAATAACTTTGTTCCTTTTGACGCAAACAATTATTATAACAGCAAATGTTGTCTAGCATGAAATTGCCTAAAAGATTTAACATGTTTTTTTTTACTAAAAGAAAAATCCATTGCTGCAAGTAATTAGAATACACAGAAATATGTCCTGTATATTTTGGGCGAGTTAAAATTTGGTTTGGGCAAGTCGAAATGACCATGTACATGTACTACTGCCTGATGCCCAAGTGGACTTTTGAAAACGTGTCCTTGAGTCCTTGAATAAAACCTTAGTTTTTCTGTGACTAGTTTTTGGGAAGTTTTGTGAGTAGTAAGAAGCCTGACTCACCGTGTGCAGACGTGCCACCATGTCATCCTTATCCAGGCAAGCGTTGGTGTCAAACCAGGCATCAAAGTCCTGCAATCAAATTAATAATAAAATAATAAATGATTTTTATTGTCCAAACAGTACCCGTGCAGTCGCAGCCTTTATACGGCTAAATTGATGCAGGATATCACATGATAATCAATATAAATCATGACAATCAAATAATACACGTCGACACACATATTTGCTCCACAAATTTTTTGTGGAACTGTCGCAAGGGTCTGTGCGGCTGCCATTCGGCGCCACAAGGTGACCTCAATACGACTTTCCCCAGGTAAGGCCTAGGCATCCTCTTATAGCCCCAAATGGTACGATAGGAGTCAGGAAATCAACAAAAAAGGCTGGGTTGATAATTAAACAATGAATTTTGAACTTTTAATCAAACTGTTTCATTGATAGATGGAAAAACTGTAACAAATAGGATGAAAAGGACTTTCCTCAACTGTTGGGGGAAAAATATAAAAGCATATTTGAGTTGATTCAGAACCA